GCGATCACCTGAGGTCAGGAATTTTCAAGACCAGGCCTGACCAACATGATGAACCCCATCTCCTACTAAAAATACAAAATTAGCTAGGTGTCCGGTGCACACACCTTACATCCCAGGCTACTCGGAGGCTGAGGCAGGAGAATCACTTCAACCCAGGAGGCAGAGGTTGCAGTGAGCCAAGATCGCGCCATTGCACTCCAGTCTGGACAACAAGAGCGAAACTCTGTCTCAAAAAATAAAAAATAAACAAGAAATATTATCAGTCCTTCATAAGCACTTCGAAGAAATAGAGGAAAAAAGAACACCTTCTTTTAGTTATTACAAGAAACTATACCAATGTACAGACGCCCTCCCAAAATTAATTATTTCTTCCAAATTTTCCCGATAAGATCAAGGGCCTCATTTTTTGTCATCATAGCTTAAGTGTTAATTCTTTCTTGACTTATATAGATAAAAATGTCCCTATTGTGGAAAGTTATTTTTATTTTCCTCACTGCCAAAATTTTATTGATCACCATTTTCTAACGTGGATTTGAATATAATCTCTCAAGATATTTACAGAAATTTTAACCTATGCTATCAAATATCAGGAAGATGTTATCTTAGAAGCTTGTTCTTTGGCATTTTGTTGATAGGAGCTGAAAATTTGAACAGCTCAACAACAATTGTACTTAATAATTTAGGTTAAGTTACTTGATAGTTTTAAATGTGAGAAAAGGAATGAGAAATATTGGAGAAAGGAATTGGATATAGTGAGCATGAAGGGTGTTTTCTAAGAGTGTTCCTGCAAAAGACAGCGGAGCAGCAGTGGAGTAGCTTGCTGGGCAAATGAGGGCCAAAAAAACTAGCTGTTACTTAGATAAAATGAAATCATAGCCACATGCAGGCTGGTAGGAAAATTCCATCAGAGAGAGAGAAAATTTGATAGAGAAGAAAAAGGGAAATTGTTGGACGATGTCTTTGAGGTGACTATGGGTGAATCTTCCTCACAAGAAGTGAGTTTTGTTTTGTTTTTAAGACAGAGTCTCGCTCTGTCACCCAGTCTGGAGTGCAATGGCGTGATCTTGGCTCACTGCAAGCTCTGCCTCCCAGGTTCAAGCAATTCTCCTGCCTCAGCCTCCCGAGTAGCTGGGATTACAGGCATGCACCCCCACGCCTGGCTAATTTTTTTCTATTTTTAGTAAAGATGGGGTTTCAGTGTGTCAGCCAGGCTCATCTCAAACTCTTTATCTCAGGTGATCCACCTGCCTCAGCCTCGCAGAGTGCTGGGATTACAGGCATGAGCCGCCACCCCTGGCCCAAGAAGTGACTTTTGATAAGTACACGAATCATCCCTCATTCCAGGTGGAAAGCAGAGGATTAGGGTTGTACAAGGCCTCGAAGATGGAGTGATGCTGTTGGGAGTGGGAGTTCTCTTCTGCATGCAGCAGTTTTCTCAGAGATCTGAGAAGGTTACCCCAGTGTCAACATCAATGTGTCGGTATTTCTGGAACACGGCAAGCCCTTTCCATCTGTGGATTTAAGTCATCTTCTATGTCTGGGACATTTTTCTTTCTTATTATGGCTTTCTTTTTCAAGGATACCCCTTAGCACATGCTGGATTTGTTTTACCCTCTCTTTCATACCTATAGTACTTGGCCTACTCCTTTTTAATTCTTTCCACTTCCATTTCTTTTTACTTGCTTTTCCCAGTCTTGGCCTCCATGTCTTTCTCTCTATTTCACTGATATCTAGAGCCTTTTCTGTTGCTTCTAATTTGCCTTAATTGAATGTAATCATCTATTCCCAGAGTTTATTCTTAACCTCCTACCTGTAGCATTATAGGTCATCAACTATCATTCTTAAAGTTGTCACAACCTCTCTTAAGAAAATTCTCCACATATAGCCTAATCAAAATGTCTTTCTTCCTTTCCTTTACAATGTTTTCTGTGTGTTATGTATCAGAATCTGCTGCCCAGATCAACCTAGCGAAGGGTTTCCCTGTTTTTTATTCCCTAGAACATTTTATAGAGCATGACAATTCCTTCCTTGAAATTTGGATAACATTTGCCTCTAAAACTTTCAGTGCTTAATTTGGTAGTGACAATTCCAACATGTTAAATTGCACAGATTCTGGGGGCTCAACTGCATCTGCAGCCACATGACCTCGCACAGGTAATTTACCTCTCTGTGCTTCTTTCCTTATTGATACTGTAAGAATAAAGTAGTGCTTATCTCAAAAGGTTGTTGTGAGGACCAAATGAATTAGTATACATTGAACTCTTAAAATAGAAACTGGCACAAAGGAAGCACAAGTGTGTCTGGCTGTCTCATTATCATTATTATTATTAGAGCTGTTGGATTAGAATAGGTACAGTATTGTGTATTAGTTTCTTCCTCAAAGCCTAGTTCATAGACTTATTTATTATTTTTTAGATCTTTAAAAGAATATCATTTTCCCATTCTTTCTTTTCTGACTGCAAAAGAAACAAGTTTCAAACAGACCATTTGTGCCTGAGTCTTAGAACTGATTTCTAGGGAAAACATTTCAGGCATAGCCTTTTGGTTTTCTACATAACTAAAAATTACATGTATAAAGGTGAACTTATGGAAAGACAAAAGAACAAAACACATTAATCTTTTTATAGAATATTACCCATCACTGCTTTTGTGTTATTTTTGTTCTGTATTATCTGTGCCAAAGTCAACTGAGTCATGCATCCATCATGCAGTCCTCATATTCCCTAAGAGAGCTGACAGATATGGCAAACATTTTTTTGATATTTTAACAGAACCTAATTGCAAAACTATTTGGCCCAGAGCTTTAGTTGGTAGATAATGTTTGGAATATGATAGGCAAGAAATTATACAGTTTTTTTAGCTCTTCCAAACACATTGGTTTCCAAGGTCTTGCATTTATCGATTTTCGGTTATTCTAAGAATTTATTCAGTAATTTCAGTCACAATCTTTTTTTTTCTCTTCCATTTGCCACCTTTATTTTTTCTTTTTAAAATCTGGGATGATACATACTGTAAGTGAATTAAAAATGTGCCGTTGAAGGGCACAGTGGCTCACATCTGTAATCCCAGCACTGTGGGAGGCCGAGGTGGGCGGATCATGAGGTCAGGAGTTGAAGACCAGCCTGGCCGAGATGGTGAAACCCCGTCTTTACTAAAATTACAAAAATTAGCTGGGCATGGTGGCACATGCCTGTAATCCCAGCTACTTGCAGAGGCTGACGCAGGAGAATTGCTTGAACCGGGACCCAGGAGGCGGAGGTTGCAGTGAGCCAAGATTGTGTCACTGCACTCCAACCTGGGTTACAGAGTGATACTCCATCTCAAAATAAATAAATAAATAAATAGATAAATAGATAATGAAACAGTGCAAAGCATTATATTTTCAAAGTTTTTTAAATAGTAAAATTTTTGCCTCTGGAGCCTCAGAAAAGGGGCAAAAAAGAAATGGAGCTATTGAGAAATCCTTCATCCCTCTAGGCAGACCCTGCACAGGATTAAAAGGTAACAGAGTGATAGGATACAGGTCTGTGGAAATAGGAGCCATGATACAAATGGAACAATTTCTAAATAAAAATATGCTTGAGGGAAGAACTGTCCCTACCTCAAGGTGGATGAAGTAAGGCTAAGGCATCCCAGCCTCCTTACCGGGAAAGAACAATCAAAGCCTATTGTTCTTTCCTGGAATTGATGTTAGATAAGCCAAGAAATTGAGCAAGAGGGAGTGCATGTTGTTGAAAACCAGTTAAATAAGGCAAAGGTCAATTACATATTTACATTATTATTATTATTATTATTATTGAGATGGAGTCTCACTCTGTCACCCAGGCTGGAGTACAGTGGCATGATCCCGGCTCACTGCAACCTCAGCCCCCCCAGATTCAAGTGCTTCTCCTGCCTCAGCCTCCCAAGTAGCTGGGATTACGGGCACCCACCACCATGCCCAGCTAAATTTTTTTGTGTATTTTTAGTAGAGACAGGATTTCACCATGTTGGCCAGGCTGGTCTGGAACTCCTGACCTCAAGTAATCTGCCCACATCAGCCTCCCAAAATGCTGAGATTACAGGAGTGAGCCACCATGCCCAGCCAAATTTAAATTAAAACTGAAGAAACTCTAGCCCATGTACACCAACATCTTTCATAACAACAATCAAACAGATACAAGTCAAATCCATCTTGAGTGGATTTAAATATCAAATGGTGACATCTTTACACAACAATCTGCCTCATTTTTGAGTTCTACATTGATGATCTTATATAAATAATTACATGGTTTTAATTATAAAATTAGAACTCTTATCTTAAGGGTATTGTCTTTATCTGTAATATTTTCTCAATATAAAACATTTTATAATTTTTATTTTTCTTTTATCAAGGCTTTGCTGACATACAGAAGGATTATTTTAAGGTATTTAAATCTACAATTTTTTGTGTGTTTAGAGTTCCGACTTGGTGTCTTGCCTGTAAAGATTTTTCTTTACAGAATATCATGTAATTATTCATCCATATATATTTCTAGTACTTTTATGCTTTCATTTTTAAAAATTAAATCTTAAATTCACATAGATGTCTCTAATATGACATTAGAGAAAATGATGTAACTTTCTTTCTAAAAACTAACCACTTATATCATCGATTCTCAAATAATTTATCTTTTTCTAGCTATTTTAAATGTCACCTTAATCATACATTAAAATGCTAATGTTAGGTGGGGTGCGGTGGCTCACACCTGTAATCCCAGCACTTTGGGAGGCCGAGGCCGGCGGATCACAAGGTCAGGAGATCGAGACCATCCTGGCTAACACGGTGAAACCCCGTCTCTACTAAAAATACATAAAAAACTAGCTGGGTGTGCTGGCGGGCGCCTGCAGTCCCAGCTACTCAGGAGGCTGAGGCAGGAGAATTGCTTGAACCTGGGAAGTGGAGGTTGCAGTGAGCCGAGATTGCGCCACTGCACTCCCACCTAGGCGACAGAGTGAGACTGCATCTCAAAACAAAAAAAAAATTAAGAAACTATATGAGTTTCTGGGTTTTTTTGTTTTGTTGTTTCTTTGCAATGCCAAGTTACTTAAATGCAGAGGAATTTATCAACCTAAGGATTTAGGGGGATTAAAATAAATAGCATTTAGCATAAATTTAACTAGGTAATAATAAAAATTGTTATCTTACAGGTCTTAGAGTTTTAATTATCTTGTACTTCTTAAAATTACAACTTTAAAAATTTCTTTTTAGAGGGGAACAGCATTTATGTCAATTGTGGTCATTTAAAGTGTCTTGGCCTATGCTGTCCTCAAATTTTCAAAACCAGACCTTGCCTGACCCATTAAAGCGAAGGGCTAAGTATGGCCAGCTGTGTCCGAGGAGGTTTTATCCTCCCTTAGTTCTTCCTCGGATCCGCAGTGGGTTGATCCTGCCCTTTCTGAAATCCACCACCATGTTTGCTGGTCAAATTGTACCCACTGGCTCTTTGATGGAACTGAATGCAGAGTTTGTTGCAGAAAAATTCAGGAGCTGCAAAGTTAAGAGGCTCAACTGTAGCACAGAGTCAACAGTTTGCAAATAAAGCCCCTGGAGCTAAGATTTCCTTTCATGTGTTAGCTGCCTCCAGGATACATAGGGGCAGGTGGGAGTGCCAGCTCTTGTACTTGGAAGAGTGGATTCGGCTTTAGACAAAATCCTGCAGAGTGACCCAAGGAAGCACTGAGGGTCTGAGGAACGACAGGGAGCAGAGATTTACTGAGGAGAGTGTGACCTCCCGTCATAGCACCATTGCTGTTACTTGAGTAAATTAGGTAGAATCTTTCAGTAAGAAAACTTGGTCAAAGGTATTCCAGCAGAGTCTTCCTATGAAACCATGCTCACTCATCACCATCTTCCAAGTGCAGCCCAGCTACTGCAGCCACCCACCCTGCAGCCCCACCACCTCCTCCTGCCATCCCATGGCATCTCAGGTCCTCTGTGGGTACAAAACGGAGTGGGAACCAGTCCCTCTCCCAAGACATACTGGGATAGTGCCACGGGACACGTGTGTGCACATCTGCAGGAAGGGCCGCAGGAGCAGTCAGGGCCAGCCCTGCCAGGCGGTCATGTGGAAGACCCTCACCAAGCCCACGGCCGTGGAGGCTGGAGGCGGATGCTGCTCTGAGAGCCCGTGACAAACCCACTCCTCCGCTGTCAGGCCGTCATCTGCTGACGACGGATGATGGTTTTACCTGAAGCGTCTGCATTTGTATTTAATATATTCACTTTTCAGGAATAAAAAGGGATGTTCCCATGCATTTTTTTCCAGGGTATTTTACCGACTCCTGTTGTAGCCACCCATTATACAACCCAGCAGAACTGGAAGAAAACGATGCCATCGGAGTGAGGCGGGCGGCCCAGAGGCATCTGCAAGCAGAGCTGGGAATTCCTGGGGAGCAGGTACACACAGCACCCAGTCACGGCTATGTCCACGGGAGTCCAGGTTGGCAGTGGGCAGAAGCTGAACAAAGTCCAGGCTGGATCTGTGCTGTTGGCCTCATGAAGCACCGTGAGGATGAAGGATGGGGCTGTGAATGGGCTGTGGATGGGAACGTGAATGTAGCTGTAGATGGGGCAGTGTGAGTCTTTGTGTGTCCCAGGCAGGGTTGAGGCTGTGCAGGAATCTGTCAGCCACACACCAAAGAGGAAATGCAAGTGTCCACTAGAAAGAATGTCCAGGATCCTGTGAGCATATGAACTTCATCCATTCAAGAACATCTTTAAGAGAGGACGGATGTTCTCCTGACAGTGCTGGCCGGTTTCTATGGGATTTTCTGTTAAGGATGTGTGTGTGACAGGGTTAGTTCTTTAAATGAAGACACAGACAGGTTTACTGGAACCAAGAAATCAAAGCCAGTTTATCATTCAGACTTGAGTCCACAAAAATTTACTTAGCTAAAATTGAGGTTTTGGAAATTATCAATTACCAAAAGAAAGTGTTCATTTTCTTTGAGGAAAACAATGTGTTTATTTTCTCTATTTTTCTGTAAATTCTGTTTTACATGTGTGTTGTTAACACTGCACCAATTTCTGTCAGATTTCTCCAGAGGACATTGTGTTCATGACAATCTATCACCACAAGGCAAAATCAGACAGAATTTGGGGAGAGCATGACATTTGTTACCTTCTGCTTGTGAGGAAAAATGTCACCGTGAACCTGGATCCCAGTGAAAAGAAAAGCATCCTCTACCTGTCCCAGGAGGAGCTGCGGGAGCTCCTGAAGAGGGGGCCAGGGGCGAAGTCAAAGTCACCCCCTGGCTAAGAACCATTGCCGAGAAGTTTCTGTACCGGTGGTGGCCTCACCTGGATGATGTGACCCAGTTTGTGGAGCTTCACACAGAGTATGAGAGGCAGGGAGGTCGAGTCAGCCGTGTGGAATGCTCTCAGTGCAGGCAGACACACCATCGAGGCAACAACACACCCAACACAGGGCGAAAGGGGCATGTGATTGCCCATCAGCTATAAATCACTCGTTTCCTTTTCATCAACTTTGTCATGTCTTCATTTTCCCTTTCCTTTATTTCTATATTTCTCATCTGCCTGGTGGCACGGAGGAAATTTAACGTTTCCCTTGTCCCAGTTTCCGTTTTATGAGCACTTGGTCGATGAACAGCGGCTGATCCCGAAAGTCTTGGGGAGAGCTTGAGAGTTCTGACGCAGGCGGACTAGCATGGCTGGACCGTGAGGCTGCCTCCCCACAGCTTTATCCGAGCCTCCAAGGTCAGGAGGGGTCTCTGCTCCATCTGTTTCTTTCTAAATCACTTATTTCCAAGTGCAACACAAGGTTGCATTTTTTAAAAAAGACACATTCAATTTTGCATCTTAAGCCTTGGCGATGTGCATTTAAGTTCACCTTTCAAATGAATTTAGACTTATAGATATTACATTCCTAATACGAGCAGTACAGAAGATGTGTATGGTCTCAGCCAAGTGACTCGACGTTTATCCACTTCTGTTCATTTGATTACATTTCAGTAATATGCTTACAAATAAAGACATACTTGCTTTAAAACATACTGTTGTTGTTGAACACAAAGTAACTACATATTAGGTTTTGGTGTTTAATATGGAGAAAGAATTTCAAAAACCAGACCTGGTAAATTTTTTTTTTTGACACAGAGTCTTGCTCTGTCACATAGGCAGGAGTGCAATGGCACGATCTCGGCTCACTGCAACCTCCGCTCAAGTGATTCTCCTGCCTTAGCCTTCCGAGCAGCTGGGATTACAGACGCCCATCACCACGCACGGCTAATTTTTCTATTTTTAGTAGAGATGGTGTTTCACCAAGTTGGCCAGGCTGCTCTCGAACTCCTGACCTCATGATCTGCCCACCTTGGCCTCCCAAAGTGCTGGGACTACAGGCCTGAGCCACTGTGCCCGGCCCAGACCTGGTAAATTTTGAAAATTGCCACATGTAATCCAGAAGTGTGACCAACTAAAATCCTTTCCTCAGCTATAATGTTGATTGCGACTTGATAACTCATCTGTGGTGGCTCTCGGATCCCTGTGTGTCCTCAGGGCTCCAGGAGCACACGGACCCCTGGGTGAGTCCCTCTGACCCCACAGCTCTTCATCTCAACGCTCCCCGGCAGGTGCTTCTGAGATGGTATTGGGGGTGTTTCTGTGTTTTACTGAACATATATACTTCAGGGACAGGCCACAGAAATAGGAGAATGCCCATATTTAATTGCCTAATGCCTCCAGCAACACTTTACTCCCCCAAAAGTATTTTTGCTTTAAAACAAAATAGAAATGTCATGTTTTTTGCCTTTTTATTTGGTCAAATCAATAGTGACTATAACTGAACCAAAACATGGCTAAGTAAATCAAAACTACTTTCTTTTTTTTTTTTTGAGATGGAGTCTCGCTCTGTGGCCCAGGCCGGAGTGCAGTGGCCGGATCTCAGTTCACTGCAAGCTCCGCCTCCCAGGTTTACGCCATTCTCCTGCCTCAGCCTCCCGAGTAGCTGGACTACAGGCGCCCGCCATCTCGCCCGGCTAGTTTTTTGTATTTTTTTAGTAGAGACGGGGTTTCACCGGGTGAGCCAGGATGGTCTCGATCTCCTGACCTCGTGATCCGCCCATCTCGGCCTCCCAAAGTGCTGGGATTACAGGCTTGAGCCACTGCATCCGGCCTAAAACTACTTTCTTCTGGAAGTTTATTTTGGATAAAATAATTGAAGACAGATTACAATGAGACACTGTACAATAAGAGTAGAAAATAATTTAGGAGGGTATTTTAAGCACGGATTCCGACACATTCATAAACATGTTTGCTCCCAAACTCTTAAAATAGAAAATAAGGTTTTTCTCCATCAAGAACAACCCAGTTACACCAGTAAATCTTACCAGTTCTGAAAATCTGAAGCGACTGATACTCCATTAAATGTAGAAATATTGTCTACTCAAAATATTTGTAATATTATGCAGTGACAAAAATTTCCCACATCTATATAGGGTTAACCATAGTTTTCAGCAAAGCAACAAGTGCTTTACTTATTTTGTCTTTTTCAGTTTATACAGAACTCCAATTTCATGAAACCACACTGTGCCAAGCCAGGAAATAAAGAGCAACAGTCTAGCCAAGCCACAGTCAAACGGACACTATCTCCTGTCCTTTTTGCCAGCTTTCCTCTTCCCAGAGAGCAAGTGCTTAGGCTTCATGTCGAACACGTGTCTGTCTGCCTCCCCTTTCTTCCCCAACCGGTTCATCTTCTTCTGGGCGTTCTTCATCATAGTCTTGGCTTTCTTCACCATCTAAAAGGAGGAGGAAAAATGAAGTATGTTCATGGCTTAAAACCAATTTACCATTCTGAATTTGAACTACTGGGTAACAATCCGTTTTAATGGCTCCAGTCTGTTCAGTGAAGAGACCCTGTAACATCTCTTTTCTCTTAAGCCCAGCACAGTATCTGCAGGAACTCAATGAATATTTTTGTATAAAGACTGGATGAAAATCATACCTAGGACAAGCTTTACACCCAGGGCTAGCTACATTTTAGACCTAGAAGGTCAGAACACATCTGTTTTAACTCCCTCTTATACAACCTAAGGACTCAGGCCCGTGAACCTGTTTTGCTCAGGTCTGATTGACAAGTGGTAACGCCAATATTAACAGCCAGGTTTCAAGATGGCAGCGGCACAGAGGAGTGAAGCTCAGGCTTCTATGAAGCAGACTGCAGTTTACACACAGACTTTCTCCTGCATCTCCATTGCCACAATGTTGAAACTAAAAGTTGTTGTGTTTAATAAAAGGACATTTCACCAAGAGAGACTGTACATCTGAAGTGTCTTTGCCAAAAGACATTACAATGAACTAAATGTGACTCCAGCTCTCCACCTGGGGGAACAATCCTGCAACCTAAGGATGAGCAGGATCACCCGCCAATCGACCCAGGACTTCCCTCTGGCTGTTCCTCCCACGGGGGGCTTCCTGGGACTTGAGGTCTCCTGGTGCTCAGCAGTGGCCACTTCCTGGCCCTCTTCAGACAGCGGGGCCTGAGCCCAGACTGCCGGTGCTGTCAGACCACGCTCTGGCCACCCTCCACAAAGGAAAGTGCCACGGAGGGGTCCATCCAGGGCAGCTGTCCAGGGGCGTCCACTTGTACCCTGGCCCATGCTCTCCTCTAAAGGATGCCACAAAACAAGGGCAGGCAGTGCACACGACCCCCGCCATAGCTCCTGCAAATGGCAACTGCTGGTGTTTGCCCTGAACCCTGTGCAATACACAACAGAGGCTGTCATTTTATCACATTACACAACACAGAGACTGACCTTGACATCCCTAAGACCAGAAACGTCACGTGGAGTTCGAGAGCAGCTCCGACTCCGGGCCACAGAGGACGGGGGAGCGGAGTCTTCCCGCTTTCTTTTCCTAGTGACGCTCCGGGATCTTCTTGCCTGGACTGCGTAGTGGGCCTGCAAAGCAGGGAAAGCAACGCTGAGCGCTCAGGACCCCGGCCCCGCTCCCGGGCTCAGCAACAGGCATGAGGTCACTCCAGCAAGAGGGGAGGACAGGAGTGTTTGAACCATTACCACATGGGCTAAAGATCTTGAAAATACATATTTTCATATTAGTGACACCATTTCAAGTTCACATTAGTAACAATTTCACATTAATTGTTGGTCAAATATTCTTATTCGCTTAACAGAAGCTGCTTTAGGTAAGAAAGCTGATTTTAACTCCACTTACAGAAACTTAGAACTCTCATTTAAAAGTGATTATTAGAGTATAGCATCACAATTTGTATTTCAGACATAAATAATGCTCTGTCCCTCATCGTCCCGTTTTGGGGGTTACTGATATGAACACAAAGGGACAACCATCAGACAGAAACCGTCAGACAGAAACTGCAGACTGCACATCTAGAGGACGGGGTCTGCAGCCACACCCTGGGCACGTCACCGCGCGGCCTGGTGCTGCTGTGGACACACCCTGGATACGCAGAGCTGCCTCCTGTGGGCTGTGAAGCTTTTTATTTTTTTTTTGACATAGTCTTGCTCTGTCGCCCAGGCTGGAGTGCAGCCTCAACCCACCACTTCAGCCCAGACCCAGGGTCAGGGAATCCTCAACCCAGCCCCAGGGCCAGAAAATCTCAAAAGACGAAAACTGGAAGCTCTCATTTCTTTTGCTGTCATTTCCCACGGCTTTCCAAAACCCTGGTTTGTTTTCTTCCTTTCCTTCCCTTTTTCCTTCCTTCTTTTCTTTTCTCTTTTTCTGAGATGGAGTCTCACTCTGTCACCCAGCCTGGAGTAGAGTGGCGTGATCTCAGCTCACTGAAACCTCTGCTTTCCGGGTTCAAGCAATTCTCCTGCCTCAGCCTCCTGAGTAGCTGGGATTACCGGCATGCACCACCACGCCCGGCTAATTTTTTGTACTTTTTTTCAGTACAGACTAGGTTTCACCATGTTGACTAGGCTGGTCTCGAACCCCTGACCTCATGATCTTCCAGCGCGCCTTGGCCTCCCAAAGTGCCTGGATTACAGGTGTGAGCCACCGCATCCGGCCGGTTTTCTTTATTAAAAAGGTGTATCCAGCCACATCAACACATGAACTGCCCCCACACTCACGTCGTCTTTATCGTCCATGTCAACACCAAGACTGCGCATCTCCTTCTCCAAAACTGTCCTCTGAACCTGAAAAGGAAAAAAAGAAATATTTGCTTTAAATTAGTTTGATGAAATGCTGAAAAAAACTTAAAGACAATATAAATGTATATATATTTTGCAACAATTATACTTATTTTAGAAGTTGCAATTTTTACTGGGCCTTGCTTTCATGTTTTTGGATAGCTCAATTAAATCCCATGGAAACTAACATTTACGGAGCAATTGCCGTGGGAAGCATCAGGTATCCTCTACGTCTGTCCGCTCTTCCCCACCACACGGGGGAGTGTCCCCTCTATGTCTGTCTGCTCTTCACCACCACACGGGGGAGTGTCCCCTCTACGTCTGTCCACTCTTCCCCACCACACGGGGGAGAGTGTCCTCTACGTCTGTCCGCTCTTCCCCACCACACGGGGGAGTGTCCCCTCTACGTCTGTCCGCTCTTCAGTGTCCTCTACGTCTGTCTGCTCTTCCCCACCACACGGGGGAGAGTGTCCTCTATGTCTGTCTGCTCTTCCCCACCACACGGGGGAGAGTGTCCCCTCTACGTCTGTCCACTCTTCCCCACCACACGGGGGGGAGTGTCCCCTCTACGTCTGTCCGCTCTTCCCCACCACACGGGGGAGAGTGTCCTCTACGTCTGTCTGCTCTTCTCCACCACACGGGGGAGAGTGTCCCGTCTACGTCTGTCCGCTCTTCACCACCACACGGGGGAGAGTGTCCTCTACGTCTGTCCACTCTTCCCCACCACACGGGGGAGAGTGTCCTCTACGTCTGTCCGCTCTTCCCCACCACACGGGGGAGAGTGTCCTCTACGTCTGTCCGCTCTTCCCCACCACACGGGGGAGAGTGTCCCGTCTACGTCTGTCTGCTCTTCTCCACCACACGGGGGAGAGTGTCCTCTACGTCTGTCTGCTCTTCTCCACCACACGGGGAGGAGTGTCCCCTCTACGTCTGTCCGCTCTTCACCACCACACGGGGGAGAGTGTCCTCTACGTCTGTCCGCTCTTCACCACCACACGGGGGAGAGTGTCCTCTATGTCTGTCTGCTCTTCACCACCACACGGGGGGGAGTGACCGTCTCCGTCGGAGGTGAGACACTAAAGCTGAGGTTAGCGAGGCGGCCTAAGGCAAAGGCAGTGCGCCAACCTCTCTCCTCCCAGAGATGGCTGAGCCCCTCCCAGAGAAGTAAAAAAATGTCCAAGTCCGCCATAACCAGTCACTTGCCACCATATGAAAACTGTGTGTTCAAACAGGAAGACCCACTGAGAGGCATCCTGAATGTCAAGTGACTTCTCTGGTGACATGTTAACCGCCCTGCATGTGGGCTTTCTTTTCCCCCCATCCCACCCTGCCACAGAGCCAATAAATTGCCTTTTGTAGACTGGGTCAGGTTTCTGTAAATTGCTAAAGAGTCCAGATTTAATGCAGAAATTAAACAACAAGAAAACCAGCCAGGCGTGGTGGCTCATGCCTGTAATCTCAGCACTTTGGGAGGCCAAGGCAGGCAGATCACTTGAGGTCAGGAGTTCGAGACCAGCCTGGCCAACATGGTGAAACTCATCTCTACTAAAAATACAAAAGTCAGCCGGGCGTAGTGGCAGGTGCCTGTAATCCCAGCTACTCAGAAGGTTGAGGCAGGAGAATTGCTTGAACCTGGGAGGTGGAGGCTGCAGTGAGGAGAGATTGTGCCATTGCCCTCCAGCCTGGGCAACAGAGCAAGACTCCATCCCCACCCCCGCAAAAAAGAGAGAGAGAGAAAAGGACAGGAAAATGTTAACTGATAGCCTTAAATGTCTGTGAATCTTAAGTTACAGTTTTAATCTGTACAACTGCAAAAAGACTGGATCTAGAATAGTGCCAAACTCGAAGGTGAAAATCACCAAGAAAGGACACAGTAAAGAATATGAAAGATCAGGACGTGAGCAATCTTGCAAATCCATAAACCAATAAAACAAGAATGTGCAATCTTATGGCCATGAACGGGTGGAAAGTTGTTATTCAGCAATGATCACACAGGAATCCAATCTGCAAAAACGAGATCACACCTCTTTGGAAAGACACAAACTTGCCTTCTTAGCAGTTCGTGGCATCCTGGGTCCCTGTGTATTCTTTTCTTTGGACTCCAGAATTTTCAACTTCTTTGTCTCTCTAATCTGATTTGCCAGCTGTCGGATTTCCAGCATCTCCTCATCTTCACTCTCAGATTCACTGTCATACTCTCCAGCAGCTGTTCTCAGCTCTTCTTCTTTTTCTAATTCTTCCAATTTCTTTAAAAATAGAGTTGTAATTAAACAAAATTAACAGTGAGAAAACCCCTAAGTCAGTGAGTGTGGCAGTGTGTATATATGAGCTATGTTTCCCTGCCTCGAAAGACAGAGCGATTGCCCTGGTCCGGTCCCACCTGGGCCCTGCCTACGTGCCATTTACCTCACAGGGAGGGTTCTGTGAAGAAAATGGAGACCACGTGAACGCCAGCTGCCAGCAAGTCAGGAACCGCTGTGCACCGTTTCCCTTTTGTAAAACAATTAAATTCCAAGGCTAAAAATGTGCAGAGACTGCCTCCTTCACTTCCAATGCTCCCAGCAGACACACAAAAGGAACTCAGTCCTGAGAAACTGAATTCGTGCCACATCCCATGTATCCGTTCTAATGTCACCCCAAATACAACATCACTGGATACAAATAAGACAAAAATGAAAACTAAAATACATGCATGTTTATCACACCCTAATGAAGCAACCCAGTCAGGAGCCCAACAGGCAGACGTGCCTGCGTGAGACTCTGGCCAGGAGTGCAGAGGGTGAGGCTGGGCCAGGCCTCGTGGAAGCGGATGGCACGGGCACTGCTGTGTCGGAGGAGGGGAGTCTCAAGGCTTCTCACGCCCGGCAGCGCGGACTGCAGAGGGGAAGAGGCTGGGAAGGCAGGCGGCCACTGCAGGGACAGTGAGGGCATGGGCTGGATGGGGGCCCCAGCAGTGGCGAGAGCAGATGCCCTGAGGCCACTCCTCCAGCACCAATGAAATTGAGATGCTGCCCCCAGAATCTGCTATCCCAGAGTCTGCTATGGAGGCACAGGAAGCACAGAGACCATGAGACTGAAAATGCGAACTCAATTATGGAGGGCCTGTGGGAACCAAGGAGTAGAAACGTGGGACATGCAGAGGGCAAGTATTATATAAAGCATGTTTCACACAGCTCAACTGAGAAGGCAGGATAACAACTAATGGAGGACACGGTTTAGGTATGTTTTCGTTTTTTAAAAGGATGAGTAAAACTTGTGGACATTTATATGCTAAGAAAAAGCATGTAGGGAGGGGATTGAGGCAGGAAAAAGATGTGACAGAGGAGAGCTCAAAAGGAATAGGGCCCAGCAGAGCAGAGCCCATCCCTGCCAGAGTCTCGGGGTGGGGAGGAGGTGCAGGGGGCAGAGTCAGGATCGAGGGGACAGGCCCAGAAGCTGTGCTGCTATCTTCCAGCAGTAATATTATGACAAAAAGGAAAACAATCCACAATTTAAAAAGTGACACAAACCTTCATGATGGCTGGATCAATATAATCAGCTATATTATGGCCTTCCCAGATTTCTGGTATCTTATCATGCTTTTCAGACGAATTCATTAAATCCCAGTACTCTAAAGTTAAAAAAACGGTGGTTACATTTACAGCAGTTTTTAATATCTTCAAGTACGACGTGCGTAAAATGAGTTGTGACTGACGGCAAGTCAGCGACTCCACCGCAGAAGAGAGCACGACGTGCAATTGCACGTGCAGCAGCACCAACAGCATCAGCCTCACTCAACACCCACACGCAGAGAAAGCTACAAAAACCACCCCACCGCCCCAAAACAACAGGAAACAACTCCCACATCACCCTCACTCAACACCCACACACGGAGAAAGCTGCAAAAGTCACCCCACTGTCCCAAAACAACAGGAAACAACAGAAGAACTCCTCCCACTGAGTGCTATCAGTATGCAACTTTTTTTTTGAGACAGTCTCTCACTCTGTCATCCAGGCTGGAGGGCAGTGGTGCAATTTCTGCTCACTACAGCCTCGACCTCCCAGGGTCAAGTGATCCTCCCATCGCAGCCTCCCGTGTAGCTGGGACTACAGGCACATGTCACCACACTCGGCTAATCTTTGTATTTTTTGTAGAGACAGAGTTCTGCCATGTTGCCTAGGTTGGTCTCAAACTCCTGGGCACAAGCAATCCAGTGTTGTGATTGCAGGCGTGAGCCACCACACCTGGCCCTCAGGATGCAACTTTTAATCTTGAAATTGACAAATAGGCTGAAACGCTTTTACTCATTAAAGTCTTTCCCCCCTTTTCTGAAATACTTCACGTTCAACTGGCATTTTATAGTAATGATCCCACTCTGGCCCTTACTCTGAAGATCCAAAATATAATCATCTCCCATTTCCAGCTCAAGATCTCGTTCCTGCAATGGAAAGAGAAATTATCATCAGCTTCCTTTTGCCGTTCAGATCCAGAAATGCTCTGCCCCTTGTCACTTGAAACAATCTTTTCTCCAATCCCCTCAGTATCAGTGGGGTTCACCTTCCATTTCTGGTAGGAAGGCTGTTTCTTATTTCAGTGCCTGTGGGGCCCGCCTTTGGGTTCTGGTAGGAAGGCTGTTTCTGGCCGTCTGTGGACTGTCCATCCTACTCGTGCATTGTATTCATGGCCATCTTCCCTCAAGCCAAAGAGCTCCACGAGAGGGGCTTCTGCAGGGGAACTCACTGCTGTGTCCGCAGCCTGATGGGGCTGGTGCCTGGGCACCCACGCCTCCTGTTCGATGCCCCAGGCCCCCGCGACATGCACACACAGCCTGCCTCCCCCAGTGAGAACACCGGGCAACAGCTCTGGCAGCATACCCTCTTCTTCTTGGGCTCCTCAATTTCCATCCTCTTCCTGCGAGCCACCACTCCGTCAGGGATGAAAGGAGGCCTCTCCTGAGAAGACACCACAAAAAGTATTTATGTGAAATGCCTGCTGAATGAGAAACTTACAAAGCCGAAAAAGTAGAAACAAATTCCCTATGTGTAAGGGGTACGGAAAACCATACCCAGATCAGTTAAAACCAACAGATTATTTTAGGGGCAAGGAGAGGGTTTCGGGGTCACTTTGCGCAGAGACCAGGAGGACTCCACACAGTGATTCCAAAGTTTATCCAGGAAAAACAGAAATCATGATTATCATGAAAAATTACGGAAGAAGAAAGTGGTAAGAAATAACACTGGATCAACAAATGAAAGAAATTTAGACATAAACTCAAGTGCATATAAGAATTCAATGGAAAGACAAAATTTCCAATACTCAGGTCAGAAATGCCGACCACTTGGAACGGAGTGCAACCTCCACCCTCACCACAGAACCAACTCAAGACATGGTGAAGACTATCTAAAAAAGCTAATTTTTAATGCAAGGGTAAAAGATAAATTTTTTTTTTTTTTTTTTTTTTTAAGACAGAGTTTCACTCGTCTCCCAGGCTGGAGTGCAATGGAGTGATCTCGGCTCACTGCAACCTCCGCCTCCCGGGTTCAAGCAATTCTCCCGCCTCAGCCTCCTGAGTAGCTAGAATTACAGGTGCATGCCTGACTAATTTTTGTATTTTTAGCAGAGATGGGGTTTCACCATGATGGCCAGGCTGGTCTCGAACTCTTGACCTCAGGTGATCCACCTGCCTCGGCCTCCCAGAGTGCTGGGATTACAGACGTAAGCCACTGCACCCAGCAAGAAAATATACTTTTAAAATGACTTTGGAACGAATGGTAAGCCTTTCTATGTACAATGCAAACCCAAAGAGCCAGAAATAAAATATTAATATATTTTACTAGTTTAAAAATGTACAGCATATTTGAGGTTAAAAAGGCAAGTGACAAAAAGAGAAAAAAAAATTTACAGTGTATCTAACAAGAATCCAACCTTTGTAATATAAAAACAACCAATCAGTGAGAAAAACATAAACAGCCTAAAGAACTCTGAAAAGGTCAATAAGCAGACAGACAAGCTCGACCGCACCCATCATTACAGAAACACACAACAATAAAACCATCTTTACACCACAAGACTGGCAGAGTGAGCGCCCGACCACGTCAAGGACACAAACAGAG